CATGGGACCAGATTATTTCCTGCACTTAGAGAGATAATGCACTTAGAGAAGCTGCACTTAGGGAGAGTCCACTGTATGTCAGGTTGGAATAATATGTAGATTAGATAAAAGATATTTATTAATCAATGTCAATTATGTATGTATATTAATGTTGTTATAAAAACGGTTACATTGTACTAATTATTATAACAAATAAGTGATCGTGTTCTTACTGACAAGTTTATTAGTATGTATTGTAAGAGCCGTTTGAAGTATTGACTCTGATTATCGAACTCGATTTTGTTTGTTAAGTGTAGATATATCATACGATAATTTGCTTGAAATTATTGGATATCGACAGTAATTTTAGTAGTTTACAGTTAGATAGTGAATGTAGTCGCTTTTTGTCAATGTGTGTAGACTAATCATCTAATCATACGAGTTTTTGCTTAAAATTATTGGTACAAGTTCTAGCATTACGGTTGGACTATAAGTAAAGTCCATTTGACAATGATTTGCATTGAAATTACTGGTGTAATTTTTAGTATTAATATTACGGTTAGACTATAAATATAGTCTATTTGATATAACCGTACGATAGCATCGAAATAATTGGTGTAATTGGTGTAATTTTTAGCATCACGGTTAGACTGTAAATATAGACTTTTGATATAATCGTACGATGATTAGATTTTGCTGAAACAAATGATTAACTTTTGATATGTGAGAACCATGGAATTGAGTATTACGGTTAAGATATATGCATGCATCATTTTGATAATAAATAATAAAATACGTTGCGTTCATAGATCATCCAATTCCAATCTGACATATATGTCGATTCCAAATCGACATAAATTTCAATCTTACATGCGTTAATTCCAAATTGACATACAACAATTATCATACGTCTGTCTGGTAGTTGTTGTTAAGATTATTCGATTTTTTTATTACTATTGTTATTAGTTCAATTCCACTTTTTGTTTGTTTGGACCGTTAAGAATTTTGAGTCAAGCAAATTTTATAATACACATTAATAACCCCGTTAGTAAGAATACAATACTATTATGTATTATAAAAATTAGTACAATATAACTCTTAACAATTGTTTTTAATAACAAACATTAGTATACATACATGTCAATTTGGAATAATATGTAGATTAAATATTCGCAATGTCAATTATACAACAAAATCATTGTCGTGAAATAACTGTCGGTGAAATGACTTGTCGGTGAAATGATCCTGTCGGTGAAATGACTGTCGGCGAAATGACCTATTGGTGAAATGACTGTCGGTGAAATCGTCGGCGAAATGATTGTCGATGAAATGACCTGTCGGTGAAATGATCCTGTCGATGAAATGGTTGTCTGCGAAATATAACGTCTGCGAAGTGATTGTCGATGTTATGATTTCCTCCCTTAATATGTATGACTGTGAAAAAGTCGGCCACGATACGGCCGACCCGAAGTTGGTAGATAAACATAATATAAAGTTTTCAGGGTCATTTCCATTCTTATCCCCAATGCGATACCCACGCTTTATTAAACTTTATCTGGAATATTGTATGAGGAAAGTTTGTCTAACATTCTTCTAATAAATAGGGCAGTCTGGTACTTTGCTAGTTCAAATATTAATATCGATTGAAAACTAACTTTCTTGTACTTTATTTAGAAAATGTAAAATAATTGGCTCGCTTATTACTCGTTTATCATTTTAGCCATGATGAGGACGATAGGGAAGTAGCCTTTGATCGTAATATCGCTATTCGCATCAGTTCTCATCATTACTATTAATGGAAATTATAGCCACATACAACGGCCGCTACAATATCCTATTTTTAATCTTGTCCAAATTTGGTAGAAGATTAAATTTACTCGGCCGGCCGCGCAAACGATTACAATATACAAACGGCACACTTTTCTTTCTTATAAATAGACCATAGGTTCACGCTTCCTGCCATCAGTAGCAGAGGTCTGTTTGCAACATTTTATTATTTTCCTTCAAAAAAATTTATCACAAAATGTCAGACAACGTATTGCTCGCAAAAAACGGTTTTATACTTTATAACATGGCTCCGTAATGTGTACCTATTGTCAGAGCCACTGGCAAGCCTTTCTCTACGTGCAGCCATAGAGAAATATGAAGCTGACCTCAATCAAGCCATCAGAGCTTGTACAGGGAAGAAGGATAAGAAGGAGTTGGAGGCAGTAGAGGAGAAATTCAAAAGATTATCACTGGTATTGATTATATTAGTCTTTTACATTAATGATGATGCTAAGTATAATGTGGGGATAGTAATAGCCAGTTAATGCATGGGTCCATGCAAGACTCAAGATGAGTTCCACGCCGGGCACTGTTGCATCAGTTTTGTTATGGGCAATGCCTCAAGTACCTCATTGACAGAACATCAGATACCAAACTCTCTAGAGTCCAATAGTAATAGTCACTTTTATGATAATATGACTAAGTTTGCTGCTCTGATTTTTGGTATTATTATTTGAGTACCTTACTATTTAAGCACCAACAACTAATTATCTGAACTGTTTGATTTACAACATATGCATGAGAAGATTTACAAGAATGCTTTGGAGAAGGACAAAGGTCAGGTAAGTGGTCTATAATTTTTATAAAATCTCTTGTCACTGATATGCTGAATAGAAAATTGTTTTTAGTGACAAAAAGCTGAAAGCATGGAAAACACAATCCTTGTTAGACAGTTATAAAGAACTGTGTAAGTAATCACCCTGCAGTTTTATTTATTGTTATGCAACTTGATTTTAATCTGAGCAAATGAAAAGGCTATTCAAATGAAGAAAGGACTGTCTATCAGGCAGTTACGAAGGCCCTTGATGAATTGGACTTGCCAGAGGATTAGCTTGTGGGATATTTGATCTCACAGGGAGAGGTGATGGGAATGCTAGTAGACTCTTAGAAGAAGAAATACAGGGATTGTTAAAAAATCACAAGTATAACAAAAAGGTAAAGCTCCCTGATGTAGTCGAAAGTATGATTGACAAGTTCATAGATTCATGCAAAGGATTGAGAGGGAATGTCAATGTGAAAGCATTGCATCCCATAAGCCTTCCAACAGAGATAGTAATAGAGAAGGTGCCTATCTCATCTATGACTTGCTTGTGGCATTGTAAGTATATTAATATGTGGTCAATTTGTAATGTTATTATGTGACAAAGTACTAATACTAAGTCTATTAAACATATAAAAGGTGGGACATATGGATGAATAGACTCTCTATCCATAAAATCGACTACAGCAAACAAGCATATGTGATACACATTGTTAGTCATTTATTAAACCTGATTTTAACTATTGTAAACTGCTGCTCATGCATACATGGTATGTATTCAATTTATTGGTTATTATTGCATGTTAATAATATTATTGTTAATGAATTATTATTCATGCTATTACTATAGAGCTGAGTAAATCATAGACAGTGAGTCATCTCATGATTGAAAGCAGGAGAAACTCAACCACAAACCTGATTTCAAGTCAAATTGTTCTTCAGTGCTGAATCAGATGGGGAATCAGAGGAATTGGATAAGGAGGAATTGGAGGAATCAGAATTGGATGAGGAGGAATCTGTTTCAGTAAATGAAATTGTTGTGGTGAAGAGAGTGATGATGGTGAGGATATAGATGAGGTGTTTGAAAAGAGTGAAGATGAAGAGGATGGAGAGGGTGAGGCAGCTGAGGTAGATGGTGGAGTGGAACTGCTGTTTGGAGAATGCTCAAGATTCAATGCCAATGGCCAAAGCATAATAGAGACTGGGAAAAACTGCAATGTAAAGATGGCCATAACAGGCTTTACAAAGAAATCTTAAAAGGAAGAACAAAACCAGTCCTGCTGTGAAGAAGATAGCCAAGTACAAGTCCCTACTTGCAGTGCCTATGACAGGAGTATTGGTTGTAAACAATCACATGATTGTGTTAGTTGTGGACTCATTTGGTGGTGCATTCTACAAAGCATATGAGATTTTTGATTTGACAGTACTGTTAGAGGTTTCACAAAGAAAGCAAAGGTAAAAAATCTACTGAAGAATGCCATTAGGCTAAAAATGTACTTTAAGGGAGTAGCAGATGAAGTGGTTAGCTTAAAAAGTAAGAGCAATGATTTGTCCCCCCAAAGTACAGGCTAAGGCCAGATGTTTATCACTGGAAACCCACTCTGTAATTGGTTTGAAAACACCACATTCTCCTGTCAATAAAAAAAGGTAAAGGGCCAATGATGCTGATGACATTGATCTCACAGTAATAGCAGCAAATATATCTAGATTATAATAAAGGACATTATTAATATTATATTAACAATTAAATTTTTAATAAAGCAAAATCAATCTTCATTGCTAGCATCACTAAATCAGTAACCAAGAATCCAATGCTTATAAAACTTATATGCATGTTAATGATAACTGTTTTTGATGTGTATGCAAAAAATTGACATGGAATAGTAAGTATTATTTTGAGTTTACATATAATGATTTTTTGTGAAATCAATACTCTGAAGACAACTTCCAGAAATTGAAGACTTGTTAGGAGATGAATGGCAGTTTCAACAAGACAATGACCCAAAACATACTAGCTGCCTTGCAAAAAACTTTCTTTAGGACAACATGCCTGAAGTAATGGACTGGCCTTCTAACTGTCCTGACTGCTGAAAATATTAGCAATTTGCAGCATTTTATGATTGAGGAGTGGGATGATATTCCACAATCAACCCTAATAGGGATAGGGTTAGGGACATCTTTGTGCCATAATAACACTTTGTATTTGCTATCTAAAATGACACAAAACTGGTCTTAACTGCTTAAAGATCTTAGCTTTAGTACAAAAAAATGGTTGTTGTGTCTAAGTAAAGTCAACATACAGTTAAGTAAAGAGAGTACTGTTGATATGTAATAAAAGTGCAAAAGGTGGAGTATGTAATAAAAGTACAAAAGGTGGAGATTTAAGTTTGCTTGGTCTAAGAATGCTTCAATATCAGACAAATGTTACAGTCACTGAACATTTCACAAAATTTTTTATTGACTTGCAATTTCATATAAGGTTATGCAAAATAATTATTTGTTTTGATCTTGACATGGACTTTCCCCTTGATAATAATATGGTAACAGCAATTGTAATGATAAATAAACTTATTCACCTTGTTAAGCTTTATTATACTACAGTTATAGATTGTGAACAAAATGTTTAATCAAAGAGCTATGTTTGTTCAAAGTTGTATGCTTTTTTATCT